GCAGGTAGAGAGCTGACGACTTTTATTGATTCGACTAGACTGCGGCATTTAGGGCTTGACCATTCCAGTATTGATTCCTCGCATAGATTGAAAGAGGGTGTAAAGACCTGCAATTTAAAGTCCAGTGAACATGTTGATGTGAGCAAGAAGACCGAGGTGAAGTTTGACACCTCTATTCACCGAGTTAAGGGTTGTTCTGGAGGAGTTCACGTGGATGTTTGGGGGCTTTCCAAGGGGGCATCATTGGGAGGTAATCGAAATTTGGTTTTCTTTGTTGGTGGCTGTTCTAGGCGTGTTTGGGTTGCAACCATATCTCATTTGGATAAAGTCCTAGTAGTTTCTAACAGATTGAAGAAGTGTGATATTGACAGAAAGGTGAAGGTACTTCACTCTAGTTTGGGTGGGAGATACAAGATGGACCTATTTATGTATTGGAGCCGAGCTCACGACATTTCGAGACACTTCGTTGGAAAGGAAATCTTGGGGCAACTAAATAGGGTGACAAATTTGGAGAACCGTGCCTTGCTGGAGGAGGATCGGTGTTTGTTGTCAAGCAATGGTTTGCAGAAGAGGTTCTGGACTGAGGCTTCGATATATTTGGGTTATCCTATTAAAGAGTTGTCAACTTCTATGATTGGAGGTAAAACTCCATTGGAAGATAGGTCTGGTAGTGTCACTTTGGTTAAGGCTTCGATAAGGGAGCTATTTGACTCTCAGGAGGTGGAGAGTTTTGGACAGACCTTAGATGTATCGCAGCGGGTGGAGATGGATGCTACTCTACATTGGGTAAAAATTACTCCAGATCATACTGTATTGTTTGGGATTACAGCTGAGGTGACACAGCTTAGGGATCATTTGGATTTAGGTGCAGATGATGAGTTGGGTTTTGATTCGAGTGCAGCTGGCAGTCATAGTTTGGATATGGTCATTGGTTCACCTCAGGTGGAGGTGTTTGAGGCCATTGGAGGTGCTATCAGCCACAGAGTTGATGATATTGGAGAAGGGTTGCGAACTCTTCTATTTGATTGAGGTCGTTCGCGACCATTTGGGTGAACTACGTAAGGCTTGATTCCTTGGGCAAGAGGATACGTAGGCAGTCATTTATGATGCAGCTGGTTTGGATTAGTTGATTTTGATGGGGGTGGGATCGATTTGGTGAGTTGATACCGACATTTGGAGAGTGTTCGTATTCTCATTTGGGTCTCGACTTGTTATGGATTAAGTCCGTTGTCGTGAATTGTTTTACGGCGTCTTGGACGCAACAAGTGGGACATTTGTTTTGGTTGGTGTCGGCTCAGTTTTGAGAAAACTTCGCCGAGGTGGAGAATTGTGAACGATTAGAGGGAAACACGTCTTCACGTGGGGAGGAGTTTGTTCACGTGGCCTCAGGCCCACCCGAAACAAAGTGGGATTTGTTTATTCCCTGGACCCGTGAATCACTTATATATACCCTATCTCCCTTAGGGTTAAAGTGGCATGCGAAGTTGAGGGGACGAAAGAAGACTAAAGGCAGGCGGCTGACTTCAGCGCAAAAGGCAGAGAATTAGGCTATTAAGAGAAAAAAAAAGTATTTGAAGGCTGACCTTTTCTTGAGAAGAAAAGCAAGGAGCCTATTTGAGGGTTTAGATTGAGTGATTGTAAATCCTAGTTGTAATCTCTCCCTCTATTAGTAGATCTCCTCCCTCCTTGCCCCGTGGACGTAGGCAGTTTGTCGAACCACGTAAAATTGGTTTGTTTGTGTTTGTGTTTGTGGCTATTGTAATAGTTTTAGGATCCCTCGACAAGTCAGTCCTAGAACTGATGAGAGGAAGAGCCGATATCTCACTTTGTTGAGATATTCGCTTCAGATTCTTGTCTCCTTGGTGAGACGGGAATTCTTATTGGGATCTTTCTCTATTATTGTGCACCAGAAACTCTGCCGAAATTTCCGCCGCGCACAACAATTGGACCGAGCCTAAGTTACCTCTTTGCCCTTCTAATCCGCTATAAAAGGGAGTAGCATTGCATGGGGTTCATGCTACTTTGAATTACTCTATCTCTATACTTCTCACTCAAGATCAGTTACTGACTTGATTGTTGGAGAAACAACCGGAGATCCCAACTTTGCTCTCTTACGAGCTCTTTATGTGCATGGAAAAACAGTAAACCGGAGATACTTTTAAGTCTCTCTGTCAACAATTCAAAATGAATTTCTATAAAGTAGTTTTTTGGCTTAAATTTCTCAAGTATTGATCTATGAAAAGGACGCAAACATTAGCAGGTATGTTAGAGTTATACCTCTCAGTTTTGATTACAACTTCAAAATTTTGATATAAAAAAAACCATTTGGGGTCACATAGAACCCACAGAATTCCAACCTAACATCTGAATGTGAAGAGTAATCACTTTGATCTATTTCGAACACATTTGAGGACGGATTAATTATCCTTAGGATAATATGAGTACGTCCTTAGGATGATATCAGTATGTAGAGTATGACGCATCTGGGGCCAGCGGTGCACCATCAACTCTTCAATCACATGACTTGAAAATCAGCCGAATAATATCAAGACTAAGGCTGATATCTCTTTGATGCACCATCAATATATAAACCAAATGCATCGAGTATTATGTACACAGACATGTAAGTTTTGGAAAGCTAGAATTATCCTACAATATGAAAGTTCAAAAGACATAGATCCCAATAAAAGCATCTTCCTCAGGCCAACTTTATCCTCAGCATCCGGAATTGGTGCCCTCTTTTGCCCAACTTCAAATATGAAACCGTAGACTACAAAGTGGTAACTGGGCCCATAATTCTCTTCAGGGTCTCCACGCTCGTTATGTTCACATAATAAACGCCCATGAAAATCACATCACCTACCTTTTTGCCTCCCTCTTCATTCAAAACTCAAGACCCGCTCCTTTTCCAACCACTCCTCTCTCTCTCTCTCTCTCTACTTCCCTACTCTCCTCTTTCAAAATTAACCACTTCCCATCATAACATAACCTCAAACTCAAAACCCATCACCACTTTTTACCCCTCTCTCAATGAAGATCTCCTCTTCCTCCTCTCCTTTTGATCTGAGCTCGAATGAAGCTACTTCAGGTTGCCTCTCAGGCCTCCTCCGTCGACTCCGCTGCAAAAATTTCCGACACTCGTCATTGTATGTTGAAAGTTTTGATGCTGATGTTAAAGAAGAGCAGAAGAAACCGCCACAGAGCCCGTGCTTGGTTGCGAGGCTAATGGGCTTGGATACGATGCCGGTGCATCCTTACACTCCTACGGAGAGCATTTCGAGGAGCAGATCGACGAATTCTGTTGACGGGTTTAATGGGTTTTTGTCCGGCAAGAGAAATTGGATGACTAACCATAGGACTAGCCAATCTTTTCGCGAGGAGCCGACTTTCTTGAGGAAGGAGAACGAGGATTTCTTGGTGCTTAGCTTTGTTCCTGATGAGAAATCGAAGATTGATTGTGGAGAATTGAAGGACATGAAGAGTGTGAAAGTTGTAGAAAAGAAGGGTAGAAAGGGAATTGAGGGCAAAGAGAGTGTCATGGAGAAGAGACAGAGTCAGTGTGAAGTTTCGAAGTCGAAGACAGTTCAGAAGAAGGATCTGTGCAGAAAAAATCAGCTAGGAGCAAATAACGAGAGATTTCATAAAGCTATCAAGCAAAGAGAAGAACCAAGGAGATCAAATTCAAAGAAGAAGAGGGCAGACTCTGCAGCTAAGAAGCTAGAAACAGAATGCAGCTCTGAAGACTCAAGCCCGGTATCAGTTTTAGATCGCAACGCTGATATCGACAGCGAGTATGTAATCGACCCAAATTTTCCAATTTCAGGTACATTTCAATTTATCAAACCGTTCACAATGATATTTTTTCCGAAAAATGCAGAAGAAGAAAATAAGCCAAAGGAAGAGAAACCAAGAAGAAAGCTCTCATCCGAGCTCAATAAAGCTGAGCTCATCAGAAACTCCAATAAAGAAGGACTAAAGATTGACAATGTTGAAATCAAGAGGAGAAAGAGTTCAGAGAAAAAAGAAGGCGGGTCTTCAGATATATGGGCCCAAGCATGTCAGTTGGCAGCAGATGATGTGAAGAAGTCCAGTTGGGACTTCAGAGAAATTTGGAGATCAGAAAATAATGGGGAGATTGCAGCAGAAATTGGGATAGAAATTATAGATATAATACTTAATGAAGTATTAACAGAGTTGTCTATTTGTAGCATCACAATCTGAAATTGTAAATAATCTCTTTCTTATATCTCTCATCTGTAATTTTCTTTGATATAAAGCTATGATATAAGTTCTGTAGCCAAGGGAGCATTCAGACTTTCGGTTGATAATATTCATGAAATGTTCCAGAAACAAGGCAATATAAAAATGTTGTTCTTCAAAAGGTCAAGAGTTATATGTTTGCGTCAGGAACATGTTTTGTTGTAGAACTCATTATAATTGTTTATCGATTACAATGAATACAGAAGAGCAAGTTTCGTGTTTTGTAAAACTACTCGTTACAAAAAAAAATCAAATTACAATGCTCCTTCGAAACACACACAGGAACGTTTATCGTCCGCTACTTGCGTGGGATTTTTGCCTGTGCCGGGGGTGCGTTAGACCGTGGACCACCGAATCACAGATTCAGATCGAACCGTGAAGGTTATTTGGGAATTCTTGCTTCATTTAGAAGTAAGAAAAGGAAGTGAATATCTTATCGATGTAAGATAAACACTCTTGGGAATTCTTGCTTCATTTAGAAGTAAGAAAAGGAAGTGAATATCTTATCGATGTAAGATAAACACTCTTCTTAAGATCAAGTCAAAGCTTAGATCTTCTTATCGATGTAAGATAAACACTCTTCTTAAGATCAAGTCAAAGCTTAGATCTTAAGGAATCATAAGAATTCTGCAAAAGGTTTGCACGTGATGAAGACTCTCTTTCTTGCTTAGAATTCACCAAATTACTCAAATCTCTCTGCTTAATTTGTCCCAAAATCCTCAGTCCTCGTCAGTAATGGTCATAGGGGGTATTTATAGCCATTCGGAACAATAACTAAAGTTAGAAGTCGAAAAGAAGTCGTGTCAGGAGACTCCTATTTCTGAGACAGTTGTAACTATCTCGGAAGCGTGGTTGATTTTTCATTTTCGAGACAGTTACAACTTGTAGGCTGTCTAAAAATCACAATGGATAGATGATCCCCATCAAGCTCTAACAATGAAAGTTACTATCAGACGACTTTCTTGTTATCAACAGAAAGCTTCAATCGAAGGACGCCCTTATGGACCATGAAGAAATTACAAGTCAACGGTTTCTTCAAATCGAGAGGTAGAATTCACCACTACCGTCAAAACATAAGTGGTTACATTCCAAAAGTCAAAGCAACGCAACCATTGCATCATCAGCTATCAACACAGCCCCATATTTGAGATGATTGATCTTGATGGCTGCGACAACAACATGACTAATATTATATTAGTAACTATTAGAGGCGCTGATGAGCAGTGTAATGATTTTAGAAAAGCAGGAAGATCTAGAGAACTGTGGGAAAATATTCGACAAGCTGAGAAGTGCATGATTAAAGCCATGCAAAGAGATCTTAGTGGAGATCGTGACCCGCAGTTGATAGAGCGTTATTGAGATGCCTTAATTATCACAAATGGCCTGAATAGGACCTTCTCGAATGGTCATTGGTGTCATCCATATATAAAGATAAAGGAAGAACGCAGCCCCAAATCACTGCAGAACGTAGCTCCAAACCGTTGCAGAACGCAGCTCCAACCGCTGCAGAACGCAGCTCCAAACCGCTGCAGAACGCAGCTCCAAATCGCTACAGAACGCACTTCCAGATGCTGCGTTCAAGCACAGAATCTATGCCAGAACGCATGTTAAGGTTCTGGCCCGTTCAAACATGATCCATGCAGTTTTGAAAACCGTTTCTCACCCACGATCTGAGGAGCGGTTTACGTGGGTTGTTACAACCGATTAATGAGGCGACTAAACCCTCATTTGGGTGCGGATTATGGGGGCGGTTACACCCCTAATCTCCCTATAAATATCAACAAACTCAACAGAGTTCGGGGGGAGATAGAGATCCGAGGATCGGATTTGGAGAAGAGAATCTAGAGGAAACGATCTTCAACAAATTGAAGAGTTCTAGACATTCGATACTGGGCTTATTAACCGAATTATTTTTGGTTCAAACAACTCTTTTCTTATTAGAGTTTGTTATTTATTCTGAATCACAAAACTCGTCAAGAGTTATCAACCAGACAAGTCATTTGTTCCAGCGAATTGAGATTTTCAGATCGTCAACGGAGAGCAAGTTCGACGTAAGCATTCGAAGTCATTTGTTCCAGCGAATTGAGATTTTCAGATCGTCAACGGAGAGCAAGTTCGACGTAAGCATTCGAAGAAAGCACTCCATCGCCACCATGAAGAACCCAAAATTAAATAAAAGGGAGAATCTTGATCATTCTCTTCTCTTTTGTAATCAGGAAATCCAATTGTAACTGAGAGTTGAGAGATTTGTAAACATTCTTTTTCTAAGCAGTTAGAGAGAATAAAATCAAACACAATTCTTTCATTTCTTTTACTATAATTTTTTCCACAAACAAAAGATAGCGACTCCGCTGGGGACTAGCTTCTCTGACGATGAAGTGGTGGCGCAATCCGATGTCCATCTCGCTGGAACAACCGTTGAAACTCTCGTTGTAGAGTTTGATCAAGCCAAGTACGAGGAAGCTCTTTCCTCTGGATCGCTTAGCCCCAAGGCCAAGCACAACATCCAAAAAGCCTCCAGAGAGATCCAACCTGTTATTGAGAAGCCGAAGAAAGCCCTCTCCTTCGGCCAGGAACTTAAACTAGCTCTGCTGGTTGAAGACTCTACGCCCGTATTGACACGGTGTACAATAGGTGGTAAGAGACCTATGGCGGAAGAACACCCAACTAATGCTGGCGACGCTACTTCCAAGACTTTGAAACAAGCCAAGAAGAACGCCGCTCGAAGGTGGAGAAGATCCATCCGACGAGCGCATCTTCGGGAAAATCGATCCCTGGTTCAACGCGAGGATCGCGTTCTTGAAGACTGCATTCCTACTCCAGAACGCATACTTCATGGCAATGAGCCTAACTACGAGCCTCGAGTGATACAGCTCAAACGCAATCCTCAGTGGTGCGTTATCCATCCAAAGAATAGTACTGATAAAAACGCACCCCATGGGTGCGTACAAAAAAAACATGATCCTAAGGGGTCTGTTTCATTAACTAAACGCAGGCCAAAGCCTGGTGTTTATAAATCACAACGCGACCCTTGCGTTTCAGAACACGATGTGGTCCGCCAAGTACAAAGGAGTCAACACGGGCTTAAGATTCATGTCCAACAAGAACAATTCTCGCCTCCTCAAAGACAGAGGGTCTTATTTCCGATGAAGAATTACTCTCAAATCCCTGAACTGCGAGAATTACTCTCTAGAAAAAAACCAATGCAACGAGCAGCTCATTCATGTCACTGTGAGCGGCTTATTTCAACAGTCCTTTCCGAATGCCACTGTTGTACACCTGAGCCTCGCAGGTCGGTATTCGATAGACTGTCTGACATCGCAAGACCTACCAAGCGACAACGTCATCAGAAGAAGAAGAGTTCTATAGCTGAATATCCTCAAGTCACTATTAATGTGATTGGCAGGGGGAAAGCTGCTACTCCCAATTCTGATGAATCAGAAAGAAGCCATTCCCCGACCGTTCGGGAAATTTGTGACGAGTTCGAAGGAGTATATCGACACACCCGGACGCGGACATGAGCTATCCGTTTAGTTGACTATAGAAAGCTGGCCAAAGGCATTACTTCTGATGATGAACACTCGGCAATCGTCGGATCCCAATCTTCAAGCTCCGTCGTGGCACGGGAAGTCTCTATTTACATGACAGGAGACCCCGAGGATTTAGCTAAAATAGTCAACGAACACCATGTTATGCTCCATGCACAACAAGAGATCCTTCTCCAAATGAAGGATATGCTGGCCCAACTCCTCACGGAAAAAGACCAAAAACCTGAATCTTCCCGGAGGATGACCTCCAAAGGGAATTAGAAAGTACTTGAAAATTTGGAACAAGAAACTCACAACTTGGAGTCTTCTTCCGAAAACGAGAAGGAGGCGGAGAGAGAACAGAATCCTCAATCAACTAAAGTGGATGAGCTAGAAGCCCGCCTTAACGCAATAGCCAACAGAAGCGAGCTTCGCGAGGAAGGAGTGATACGGCCTTACCCTGTAGAATGGGATACAGCTCCCTATTCGTCGAAGTTTAAGGCCCCAACTCTACAACCTTTCGATGGTACAGGGTCGCCGAACCAACATATCTACTACTTCAAGTCACAGACCGGAGATGTGGTAGCCAACGACGCCATCCTAACCCGTTTGTTCATCGGTACTCTTAAGGGAGTTGCCTTTAAATGGTTTATGAAACTGCCCGCTGGATCTATTCAGAAATGTGTAGATTTAGAAAGGCTTTTTTTGGCCAGGTTCTTTGAGGACGATACGGAAGTTTCGGTCCCGACTCTTCTCGCCACTAAGCAGAAGAAGGAAGAATCCATCAAGACATATGTGGAGAGATTCCGCAGCATGGCGTTGCGATGCCTTTCAGGTATGGCCCAATCAACCTTAGTTGAAACTTGCAGTCACAACTTACTGACTCAGCTCCTCGCCCAGATAGGAGTAGCAGAATGTCGCTCCTGGAGACAATTAGTTTCGCAAGGAGAGCAAGCTGAAGAGATTGTCGCTCGGGTCAAGGCTGAAGAAGTTACTCAACCCAAGCCACAACAGCAATGCAACCAAAACAATGCGCCACGCTCCAAAAAAAGGAGACGTTAGTTGCCGATACCGATGCACACACGCCATCAGGGAAACAAGGCAAAGCACCAAACCAGCAAAGAGCGATGAAGCAGTACTCGTTCAAAGAAGAGCATGTGGACACTCTATTCCAACTACTTCGGAAGAACAATAAATTGCAGCTCCCCGAAATCAGAAAACCAGATGAAGCAGGAAAGGTAGATGACCCTAATTACTGTCGCTATCATAGGTTCTTGGGACATCCTACCAGAAAATGTTATGTGTTCAAAGACATCTTGTAAAATTTGGTGAATGCTAATGTGCTCACCTTGAAACCTAAGCAAAAGACCATATCCACTAATATGATAGCGGTCTAATTCGGTGACTTCCCTCCGGTAGCAGCCGCAGATGGTGTTATCCCCATTCATAAAGGAGAAATGCACCTTAAAAACACTAACTTGTATAGTCAGAAAGATAGGGGATTGGTCCCTCTCATTATCCCAAAAGAAGAGATCATGTGGGTCCATCCCGACCTAATTGAAGATCAGCATTGGACGAACACTTCGCTCAGGCAGAAAAGAGGCAA